CACGCAAACCCCTAAAGAGGGGGGGGGGGGGGGGCCTTTGAACGCCCAAATATGCTGGATGTTTATGATATAAGAATACATATAAATATGGAGTTTATTTGTTCTACTTTGGGCTCTTTCCTCCTTGCACACGCAGTCCTAACTTGAGCAAAGGGCTGACCTTTGACCACCACTCCTTGGAGAGCTGCCTAGACAGAATAATTCCCTTTACATTAAAGGAGAACTATGGGGTCAGTGTTTTTCCCCATAGTTCTCCTAAGGGTAATGGGAGAACACAAAACGACGTCAATGCTGTCTGGATCCACCCAGCTGCGTGATTGACAGCTGGCTCTGCCTATCTAGTGGCAAAGCCAGCTGTACCCACCCCCTCCCCCGTCAGTTACACCAATCAGCGCTGGAGGATCGGAGCGGGGAGGGGGGGGGGGAATCCCTGCAGGGAGCCGTGACTGACAGTCACTCTTCTCTCCAGTGACAGGATGGAGAAGTGTGCGAGCGCCGGTATGTGTTCGCTCACCTCCCGATCTACTGAGCCGACCTGTGGCAGTTTCATTGTCACAGGTCGGCTCAGATTATGATGCTGAGTGAAAATCACTCCCCTCATAATTCTCCTTTAAGACCTGACAGAACACCGACTGCTAGAAAGAAAGTTGTGGGGCGCTGGATCTTTTATAGCACTCGGTGTTGTTAGTTTGGTCTTAATGTAGAGAGCATTATTGTCAATTTTTGTTTTAGGTTAAAGGAGAACTACGGGGTCAGTGTTTTTCTCCATAGTTCTCCTTAGGGTAACGGGAGGACATAAACTAGCGTCCTCCCGTCACCCTAGGCTCAGTATATAGGGAGCTACAGCTCGCGGTATACTGAGACGCCGGAGCGGATCCCGACAGCGATGTCGAGATCCGCCCAGCTGCGTTAGTGACAGCTGGCTCTGCCAATCTAGAGGCAGCTGTACCTGCCCCCTCCCCCGTCCGTTCCGCCAGTCAGCGCTGGAGGATCGGAGCGGGGAGGGGGGAATCCAGCGCCTCCCATGTCACGGCAGAGAGCCGTGACAGGATGGAGAGGTGAGCGAACGCCGGTATGTGTTCTCTCACTTCCCGATCTACTGAGCCGACCTGTGACAGTCTCATTGTCACCGGCTAGAACTATGAGGTGAGTGGAAATCACACGCCCCCCATAGTTCTCCTTTAAAGTTTGTGTCGGGTTTGTATTGCTCCCCTCACTTCCAGTAAAACTCCGACGCAAACTTTAGCTGTTCCCAACTGTAACCAAAAACAAAAAATGACACGTGTTGGGTTTTAAACAATTATGTGGACTGAACTGACTGGCTTTCACACTTACAGGGAAATAAAACAACATTTGGGCAAATAAAAAACTAGAATGCAAAAACAGTCAAAACTGGATAACCTCTAAACAGGACAGCTCCCATCCAGGCCTTGTGCATGGCCCTCTGTTGGGTCAGATTATTAGTTGGGAGTACTTTGTAGAATTGGCCGCCCCCCCGGCTCTCACCTGCTCCTTCATCTCGCTGTACACTTTCTCTGTGTTCAGCTCCACCTGGCGTTTCAACTCTCCGAGGGCAGAATCAGCCTGCTGGGCCTGAATGGCTTGCGTCTCTGTCATGTGGGCCACCTGCTTCTCCTTCTCTCTGGAAGAAGACACAATGCGGATTGATTTCAGTTATCAATGGATTCTACCAGGCTGGGTCACCCATCACTTTCTTACAGCTTTGTGGACATCTCCTCACCATCATTCCTCCACCTACCTAGGGTGTTCCCATCTCCCATTGTTACACTTCACATACTACATAATGTATATAAAATGAAAACCTCAACAGGGAAATAGTGAACTTCTTGTAACGTCCATGATAGGTGTGAGATCTCACCATCAGATGAACACAGCTTTTCAGGTATGGACCCAAATGATGGTCATCTGAGGAACCTTCATGACTTGACTTAGGGACCCATAAATACACCATAAGGCGCAAAGCTTTGAATGTGTGAAACGTCAGGTTTTGTTGTATTCTCAGGGGGCTGATAAGGGACTGGAAAGCTCCCGGCTCCAAAAGAAACAGCAACTTTATATCCTGCACATATGTTTAGCTGTGATAGGCTCCTGAGAAATCTCACCATAACCCTGACCAGATCCTTATACTAACTTTGATCTCCACAACCACCTTGGTCCCACCCTACTTGCATCCTTATGCTAACCTTGGTCCCACCCTACCTTCATCCTTAATCTAACCTTGGTCCCACCCTACCTGCATCCTTATGCTAACCTTGGTCCCACCCTACCTGCATCCTTATGCTAACCTTGGCCCAAACCTCCTTCATCCCAATTTCCTTCTACCTAGGCCCAAACCTCCTTCATCCCAATTTCCTTCTACCTAGGCCCAAACCTCCTTCATCCCCATTCCCTTCTACCTAGGCCCAAACCTCCTTCATCCCCATTCCCTTCTACCTAGGCCCAAGCCTCCTTCATCTCCACTCCCTTCTACCTAGGCCCAAGCCTCCTTCATCTCCACTCCCTTCTTAGACCCCAACTACTTATATCCCTACTCTCTCCTAGATTTACCAAAGACCTCCTCCATCCTCGCTCTCTTTAAATTCAAACCAAACCTCCTCTATCCCTACAGTCTTCTACTTCAACCTAGACCTCCTCTATCTCCACTTTCTTCTACTTCAACCTAAAACTTCTCCATCCCCACTCTCTTCCACATTAACTCAAACTTCCTCCATCCCACCTATCTTCTACTTCAACCCAAACCTCCTTCCTCCTCAATCTCTTCTACTTCAACCCAAACCTCCTCCAGGCCTTTTACTTTCTACTTAGACCCAAACCTCTTCCACCCCCTCTTTTTTCTACGTCACCCCAAACCTCCTTTAACCCGTGTTACATTATTATTGTATTTGACATATGATAGCAGTTGTATTGATGGTTGGTTTGTTTGGTATGATTAGAGCTGGAGGAAGAAAAAGCCTCCTATTCAATACCTCTGTCATCATGAAGGCTTTACTCTATCTTTCCTCGTCAACTCCTCCCATGCTGGCCTCCAGGACTTCTCTGGAGTCTCTCCCATGCTCTGGAACTCCTTACCCCAACCTGCCCGTCTATCTCCCACTCTGCCTTGAGGCGATCCCTAAAGACTCATCTCTTCAGGGAAGCCTGTCCCACCTCAACCTAACCACTGAGCTATCACATTCTCAAACAATTCATTTCCACACAGCTACCTCCTCATGTACCACTGGCCCCTCCTCTTTTAGATTGTGGACCCTCCTTACCATCTTGTCTTGTGACTGTAATGTCTTCCTTATATTGTAAAGTGCTGCGCACACTGTTGGCGCTATATAATTCCTGTATAATAATAATAATCTTTCCTGAATTTCTCAGAGACGGTCTGATATCAGGTCTTACCTTCGTGGTCTGTGTGTCGGGACGTGAGTGGGTTTGCGTGCTTGCCTCGCTTGTTCTGATAGTTGCCATCCTGGGTTTTCTCAGACTGTTGGCATCCCTGATGTGAAAGATGGTGGGCACAGCGTCCACTCTCAGCGCCTTCTTGGAAGCGCGGTCCAGGTAACACTGGGGTGTAAAATGAACGGAGCATAATCTGTAAGTGTCGGTTTTCTTGCCCTCCAGGACCTTTTGTGCGAACTCGTCCAGATCTCCGAAGTCCTGTCCCGTCTGCTGCAGCCACATCTTGATCCTCAGCAGGTTGCGAGGGAAGACGTGTAAAATGACTCCTTTCATGGCGGTGATTTTGTTCTGCTTGCTGCTGCAACTGGCGACGATGCACCTCGGCATGGCTGACACCTATAGACAGGGAATCATTCATTAGCCAACGCAGAAACATTAGTTGTGCTTAACCATTATAAACTAAATCACCGGGGGGGAGCTGGTACAATACAGATCCCTTTCTTGTTCCTAAATTAGATATAGCCATCTTCTTTTAATGGTGGTGGGAACCCCTTAGAATGGTCCCAGCAGATGTACAGAGCCGGGAACTCAGCACAGGGATGGTGGGAACCCCTTAGAAAGGGCCCAGCAGATGTACAGACCAGGGAACTCAGCACAGGGATGGTGGAGCCCCTCATAATGGGCACAGCCGGTGTACAGACCCAGGAACTCAGCACAGGGATGGTGAGAGCTCCTCATAATGGGCACAGCAGATGTACAGACCCAGGAACTCAGCACAGGGGTGGTGGAAACCCCTCATAATGGGCACAGCCGGTGCATAGACCCAGGAACTCAGCACAGGGATGGTGAGAGCTCCTCATAATGGGCACAGCAGATGTACAGACCCAGGAACTCAGCACAGGGGTGGTGGAAACCCCTCATAATGGGCACAGCAGGTGTACAGACCCAGGAACTCAGCACAGGGATGGTGGGAAACTGCCATTCTGCTCCCTGACAGCGAGGTGTGAGGTTGCTGGTTCCTTAGCTCGTGAGCTTCCAGAGACCGGGGGCTAGAGTTGCTTCTCTGCCCCCAGGGGAGATGCTGGATCCTGGGGAGGACCCCGGCGGGGGCTCCCTGGAGAGGCCTGTGACTAGGCCTCAGCCTGTGAAAGATTCTGGGCCTGGCCCAAGAAGAAATGAGTCCCTGTCTGCCTTTAGACGGAGGATTGTTGGAAAGCTAACGCGGAGTGATAAAGAGGAGGAGAAATTGACAGCTTTGAAAGCTGAATTTAGAAAGAAAAAGCTGATTTATTCAGCAAGAAGAGACCGGCACTGAGGCCTGAGTTGAGAGACGTCGAGCAAGCTTTGAGGAAGCAGAAGGAATTGGTGAGCGCTCTGAAGGAGAGCAGCGGAGCATTTAAAGAAAAATATAAAAATAAAGAGTGTTTCAGCAGGATGAGGAGAGGAGCCGCTTCCAGCATGGAGAGTGACGCAGCCAGTGAGGAGATGCCGGTACCGACAGAGTCAGCAGAGAGTGAGAAAGTGGGCCCGGAGGATGAGTCCAGCTCTTCAACACCTCAGGAATCTGCTGAGCCCCCAATGGTGGAGGCCTCTGTCCCCCTCCCTCCGCAGCAGCAATATGGAGCATCTGAGCAGGAGGTTGAGGGAGGTACTGGCATGCTGGAGTTCATCGCTGAGCTGGAATCCCCTCTGGATGGAAGAAAGTTCTGTTTTTCTGCGGATTCCTCGGATGACGATGATATGGATACCGTTCCTTGCCCGGTGAAAAAGAGACCTGTGGAGAGAGCAAGATTTACCCGAAAGACTGCAACAACCAGGAGGAAGTCTGATCCCACCGTCGGCCATGACACTGCTGAGGTAACAACACAGCAAACAGGTACAGTGTGTGTGCAAGATGGTGGTGATTTGAACTTTAATAATGACAATGGGCTTGCTGGGGGCTGCAGTGCTACGGACAATCAGCCCACACCCATAGACAATGCAATGCAATCTACTGCACCTGCTACAATTGGTGAGACATCTGTAGCTGACTGTGAGCTTCTGGAGGAAGAGTCTGCAGAGAGGAGCGCAATGGGCACTGCAGAGACTTTGCCTGGACCAGACACAGCCGCTGTCCCTGAGATTGGTGGGGGTGGTGCTGGGAGCAGTGGTGCCACGACTGTTTTGGAGTCTGCAGTAGGCGGGACTGTGTTTGAATCCAGGAGAGAGGCTGATTGGTCAGAGCAGGGGGAGGGGGCGGGTCTTGCCTCTGTTGCTCCAATGACTACTATCCTGGCTGATTCAGACTCCTTGTCAGCAGGTTTGCTTGTGTCTGAGGACAATGCTGCAAATGTTGGGGGTGGGTCTGTGAGGAAAACATATGCTGGTGCTGCTACAGGGGCAGGGAATGATACCGGAAATGTTTTATCTGCCTCACTGTTTAGAAGGAGGAATGTTGTGCAGCTTCGATGGGAGGGTGGGGGTATTCCTCCACATAGGAGGGCAGTGGTGGATAAAATTCTGCAGATGGGGTTTAGGCCCGCAGATGTCTTTGCCCTGATCAGTCCGGCCGGTTCCTATGAGTACGAT